CATTCGCAAAATTATACCTCAACGAAGAAAAATCGCGATTCTTCACATCAGCGAATGAATCGTTCATCAAAATGCATTGACATTATGCATTCTTCATAAATGCGCTTCAGTATATATATCGTGAATAACGTCAAAGCTTATTTTTTGAAGATTTTTATTTCGAAAAAAAAACGTTCGAAGGTCTTATCCATCTTTTTATTTTCTTGCTGTTTTATTTCAAACATCTGTTGAGAACTTTTATCTGATACAGCAGCAGCAAAATGCTAGCTGGTTGAGCAGCTGTTATGAAGATACTGTTTTTCGTTTCTGTTGGTGGGCGAAAAAAATTCCATTCATTCAAGAACTCTTGTCGAACTCGATCGTGAGGGACTATGAACCAGAAAACACTTCATTGCGTCCCAAATACGAAAAAGGAAGGAAAACCTCAGATTTGGACGCAGCCCAGTGTAGGAATGGTAATACTGGAATGGATGTGAATTAGAACGAAAAAAATTCATGCCAGATCGACGTAATATATTTTTGATCGGCCACATGAAAGCTCGAACGGGAAACTGGAACTAAAAGTATGTTTCCCGTCTGCTGAAAATCATATTTGACATTCGATCAAAGCGTTATTAAGCATTTGCATCCTTATATTGAGAGTAAGTGTGGTGCATATGTACTCACGGGTTATCACGTATNATATGTACTCACGGGTTATCACGTATCCATTAATAGTTGTTTGTCTCGTTATCAATGAAATTTTAGCATATTAATTGTTCAAAAGTGTTTTCAATTAACAGATTCTCGAGTATGCAAATGACATATACTGATGTGAATTTACTGATGAAATTTCGATTTCTAGAAGGTTTGCTTTCGGATAATTGTTTATGAATTTTAGCGGCGCTAAGCAAATACGATTTCAATCTAAATTACTCTCTCGCTCAATTTTAATTGACCTCTTGGGTAATTTTGCACGCATTCAATTGATTCATTGAGAATGCATCGGTTCTTGAGACTGGATCGCATCATTCAAATAGCACAAAATCAAGCATTCGAACTTATGAATTCATCCATAATTGAATGTTGAAAACTTTCTCAATAAACTTCTCGACGTAATTGAATGAATTCTAGGAACTTATTTCATTTCGAATGGTAATCATTCAGAAAAAGTTATTTCATCCTTCAATCTGTCGTCCGTGCAAAGATTCTGCTGTGAGGCAAAGGCGATGAGATGGAAATGTGTTTAGATAAATCATTTGTGATGGAAATATTTTTATTTTATCGATTTTTTGTTGCAGTATCTATCTCTTGAGGCAATGCTGTGAGCGTTTTTCTTGAAAACAAACAAAAAAAAA